CCCACTGCCCACATCCCTCCAGGTGGAAAATGACCCATCCACCACCACTCTCCGGGTGCGGCCCTCCAGCCATGTAATAATTATATATTACATAATTGTATTTGAATAAGAAAACAGATTTCTTTTAAGTGTGTCTGACCTCACAAAAATCAACATCTGTACCACTCTTATGCCTTTTAATTGGGCAGCAATTTCTGTTAAGGGTTTTCCTATCAAATTGAAGTTAGAGTATTTCTAACAGCAACCCACCTGTCTAATGAATTAGTTGTATATCAGTTTAAATCAACTGTTCTAGAAGAGACATTTTTAGTTTTAAAGCAATAGTAAGTGAGTATTTTGTATTTTAAAATGCAATGGATAAAACAGTGGATGCAATCCTTGTCTGCTATGAATGAGCATAGTCTCCTTGAAGTCAATGGAGACAAGCCAACTAATAGCACCTGAAGATGTGATCCAATTCTCTCTTCTCTGATTGAAAGTAAATTAAACTCTGTGGACAAAATAAAAACCTCCCTGAGTGTTTACACTTCTTTGGAATTAATCCCAAATTAAACCTTCCTAAGATGTGAAATGTCTGGACAAAAGACACATTTTTGTTAAAAATAAAAAAGTCTCGCCTACCAGAGACCCATCTGGGGAGGGTTTACTGTTTGTTTTTTAGAAGCAGAGGCTTCAGTGCGACATATTTCATGATAAAGATTGTTCTTGTGTGATTTCCAGATGAATTTAGCAGACTCTGAAGGTAAGCACCTTAACCTCCACATAGTCATCTAGACCAATCTCTAAACTCTCAATATTTTTAGGTTCATCCATTCTTAACTCTGAACTGGTAACAGGAAAGGCAGTAACAGGAAATCACACTCTCAGGTAGCTTAGCCTGATACGGCGGGCAAAGGTTGTGACAATTGGGTTCCCATTTATGCATCTTTGCTAAACATGGACATGATTTCAATAGGTGTTTTAGTGGTAAAGAAGTAAGTGAATATCAACAAGAGATTTTGTGAGGCATCACAACGGGGAGTAATAAAAGAAAAAAAATTAAATGGCAATTCAATGTTTCTTATGTCCTGGGCAGCCTAATAAGTGAAACGAGATGGAAGCAGGTAGTGATGATAATGGAGATGGGACTTCAGAGTGCTTTGGCTGAGAACAAAAATGAGGACTGTCTCACCTCACAGAAGCAAAAGCACAGAAAATTATAAAGCAAACATAATGAACGGTGAAAAAAAAATAGTTCAGAGGACCAGATTCAGCTAGGGGACTGCCTTCATAGGAGAAAATAAAACAAACTTAATCCACGGTCAGATTCACCTAACTAATTTCTTCCTCGTAGAGGTGAAATTCAAAAAACCAAAATCCTCATGCTAGTCACAGGTTTCTTTTAAAGACGCGATTGGTTTCTTTCAAATCTTTGTGAGGGGTGGAAAATTTCAGGCCAGTCACCTCATACAAACTGCTTCTTATGTTACTTAAACCATGCAGATCACTGCAAAACAAGTAGACAGGTCAACCAAAGTGCTCTGAATGGCAGTCCTTTGACTGTGTTTTTCATCTTAGGTTACACATAAAACAAGTACTAACTGTACGATAAGGTGTGGAGCTGGACTTCTGCCGACTGCTGGGTTAATGCAACACACTTTTTCTTTCCCCTTAAAAAGAAAGGCAGGCAGTAAAAAGACCTTGGATTCTTGAAGTATTTTTAAAACTTACACTCAGAGGATCCTGGCTTATATTATTAATATTCAAAGACAGAATATGATCTTTGCTGCCCACATAGATCCGGTCCTGATCTTCATCCATTAATAATATCCTGTAGTCCAGGGGATTGTGGGATATTCTGTAATATTCTGAGGTCTTGGTTTCCTGCAGCTCTGTAAGAGTAAGTACCAGAAGTTAGTAAATTATTTCAGTTGCTCTCCCTTAAACTGTACCTTATTTGTAATAAAAGACCCTTTGAATACAACTCTGTCTAATAACAGCAGGAAAAAAAAGCCTCTATGTGAACCTGTTTGGAAAAAAAGGCAATTGTTGAATTAAAATCAATTTCCTTTTCCAAGTCTGAGTGCATTGTTCTTGCAAGTTAGTTAACAAGTCACACTCCATAAAGAGTCAAATATTGCTTTAGTCATTCACCTAATGAAGTCTATTCTTTTAATGGATATAATTATTTACAGCTTTGGCTTTTAAGGAAGACTGTATATTAAGTTAACCAATAGACTTGATACTTTCCAAAGTTTATGACAGTACAAGATCAATAAAAATTACATAAACACATTTTACTAATTTTTATTAATACAGGGCTTCACTGAAAATGGATCCCTATATATTTTCAAGGAGAAACCTTTTTTATGACGGGAAATATTTTCCTAATTCCTTTTAGTGAATGTTAGCTCCTTATCACAAATTATATTTAGTTTTAAAGAAAATCTAATTATGAAATCAAGCTTATATAGGTAATTTTTCATTTTTAGTTTCTGGCTATTGAACAGTGCTATCAGATTTGTTGATTAAACTCAGCTGCTTAGTCATATAAACCCTGCTCCTGTTGAAGTGAATGGCCCAGCTCCAATGACTTCTGTTGTGCAGAGCAATACCCATTACAGGACCAGAACAAGCATTTTTCATGTAAGCAACCAAACACCATCTCACCAAAGCCCTTTAGTTTTGTTCTTTTCTGAAGAGAAAACTGATATAACAGATTAGTGCCATCCCCCTTGTTTAGCCAATATTTGGCCTCTACTCAGATTATTCTATTTGCAGCAACCAAGAAGGGAATATTCTCCGTAGTTGAGAATAGAAAGCCAAAGCTTAAAGAAGCAGAAAATCTCGTTCCAAAAATGTAAATAAGGTTATGCATTGTTCATTATAGGGCTTTATTTTCACATGTGTTGAATTCAAATTCCAATTGAAATCAGTGATGGCTGCAAAAGCAAAACAACTCTCAAAATTAAGCCTACTCAGCCCAGTCCTACAGTCTTTATGCACCCAAATAGGGACAAACTCTTTAGATGCCATGCAAAGTAAGATTTTCATCTGGGATAAAGTTGTTTATCTCCACTGTCTTTATTGGGTCTACACCTGTTTCTCCAAGATAAAGATCTGTTCCACAGACCAGCATTTATGCAATCTCCTACAGGCTGTAACAAAAGTAAGTAAAAATTAAATAAATCTCTGTGATGCAACCAGTCATAGTGAAGCCTATGAGACCTTAAAAAGGCTGGTCTGGAAGTAGGAACTCATATTCTCCTGGAGAACTGTTTTGACAGAAAGTTTTCATCAGCTGTAGACTTAACAGCTGTGTCCAGCACATGTGTATTGCTGATAAAAGGATAGGGAATAAACTTTGCAATGCTGCCTTGACTTTTACATGTCAGTTTAATTTTCCTCATGTTTAATAAGTAACTTTGGAGAAAATGCAGCTGGCATAGACTGTCATAGCTCAATTGTCTTTACCAGAGCTGTGACAGCTTACCAATGTATATTAGCCTAATGTATATCCTGAAATATTTTATATATACATACATATACATATATATATACACATACATACACACACACACACACACACACACACACACACACACACACACACTTTACATGTGTATATATATAAATATATACATAAAATCCAATAGTGTTTTATTCAAAAGATATATTAATAAACAAGGCTCATATTCCTCATTTAAGAGTTTAAAAAGTTGGGGGCCTCATTAAAGGAGTATTACAATTTGTTCATCTCACTCATGTGCATTCTACAAATTAATTTTGGATTCCCTTGAAAAATTCATTCTTTTTCTCTTTTCTTTGGAAAAAATATTAAGGCTGGGATTTTTCAAAGGTAACTACTAGGGCTGTGTGAAGCTTCAGCTGCTGATTCAATTTGGCAGAGGTTCAGGCTGATTTGGCGGCCAAATCTCCAAATCTGAATTGAATCAGGAGACTCTTTAAACTCTCTGAATCGAATTAAACCCCTCTGATTCAATTCAGAGAGACTCAATGATTCAGACATAGACACAGCTTTACATGTTTTTTCTACTTACATCAAGGTGCCAGGCAGCTCATGAACACTGAGATGGTGGGGCGGATGGAGCATCACACAGGAGCATGGGGCAGTCCCCAGCACACTTGAAGACAGACTCGGAAATGAACCAGAAGCACTTCTGGTCCATTTCTGGGTCCACTGGGGAGTGCATGGGGGACCCCCCCCACTGTCCCCCCTGGCTCAGCAATTGGTGCATCCTGAGTCTGGGGATGCACCCAGAGTTCCCCTGTGGCCGATTATTGAGCCAAGGGGATGCGGG